CAGGCCGCTATGATCAAGTCCAGGAAGAACCAGGTCTTGAAGTACCGCCAGGATGTGCGGGAGAAGCGCTTCTCCACCTTCCCCTAAGCAAAAAAGCGGTCGAAACCCGGGCGGCTGAAGCGGGGCTATCACCGGTAACACACTCAAGGCTTTTTTCAGAGCTCCCCAAGTTTATCCAGCGAAAACGCCGTCATGCTGATTTCAAAACCCCTACCGACCCTACCCTGCGAGGTGTGCTTTGGCTGGAGTCACCCAAGCACCTCTGAAACGACAACGGGAAACATGGGCGGTCCTCGTAGGTGTTGTAGCCTGCAAACAATTGGAGCGGCATGTCCGCGAGCCAGTAGATTGCCTGCGCCAACTTGTTTGCATTTCCCGGACCTTCCTGGGGCCGTTTGTAGAGCGGCTAATCCATGCGAGCCATGTCGCCATGTCACAAACTGGCATCTGAGATTCAAAGCTGACGCGTTGAAGACGAAGGCCCCAAAAGCCGCTCGTGTCGCCGGGTGGCGGATATCCAGTCCATGGTCATGAAGGCCGCATTGGTCGTCATGACCACCTCGAGCTCCTCGAAGGTGCTCAGCGGAAACCTGTGTCGCTCGATGCCGTGCTTGTTGCAAGGAAGGTAATGCCACTCCGCCTAAACCCGAGGTTGTTTGAGCTCAAGAGTAGACAAAAGAAGCATTGGTTCCGCAATAAGACTCTTGAGGACGCCTCAGGAAGAATGAAAGACTGGTAATTACCAAGAATGTGTGTCCTGGCAATGGCCACTCAAGTATGAGTCGCATACCGGGGAGTTCGAGTTCGAGGAACCGGCGCTGGCCAGAGCGGGGGTTTCATGGTGACCGTTCTGGTTTTGGCTGCTGCTGTTGCCGTTGCCGAAAAGCTGTCACTGTTTGCGGGTGATGTTGATGCTGTTTGCCTGTTGCGTGGGGGTGATTCGCATTGGTTCCGTTTCTCCGAGCAGCGTGATCACTTCGATGGCCAGGATGAGCAGCGCGATGGTGTCCCAAGCGAGGCGCCGCCGGGAAAGGGGCAGCATCACAAAAAACCGGAGGGTGTGGTCGAAGCGCGACAGGTTCACGTCGCCCGTAGCGCCTGGACCATTGGCCGGGGCAAGTCTTGGCGCAAAATTCCGAGGGCTCACGGCTTTCAGAACAAGTCAAAGTTCCAGAAAGCTCACCCGGCTCCTCCTGGCAGCTGCATTTCCGACATGAGCTCCTCCTCTTGGTCCGGCTCGTTCTCATCTGGCCACTTCCACAAAGCCCGCAGCGGCTCACCTGTATCCGGCACTGGATACCTGGCTTCCAATTCGATTGATTCGTCTTGGCCCTTGCAAGTGTCTTGGAAAAATGGTTCAGAAGGGGAGCAAAGGCTTGCACTTGCATCCAAGGGGCTCGCAAAGCTGGATATGCTCCAAAAAGGTCACCTTTTTCATGATGTCGCTGCTGCGGCTTCGGCTGGGGTCCTATCCAGGGCTCTGATTCAAACCGTGGCTGACAAACGCAGATGGTAACCCCAGCCACAGAAGTACCGATCTCTCTGCGCTTCAACCACTGTATCGACGTGGAAGCTACAATGGACTGGACCCCACCGTAGGCCAACCTTCGGCCACCTGAAGTGGCAGCACCCACACAGTAGTAGACTCTCTCAGTGGCAATGTCGGGCGTGTTGATTGCCTCTCACACTAAAACTGGTTCCCTGGCTTCACCGCAAAAGTCGGGGTCCTTGAACGCCGACTTTTCGGCAGACAGGTTTCTTCTCAGGAGGAAGGCAGATCTGGGCGACCTGGGCAGGCATCATTTCTTCGACCAGACACCCATGGTGCAACCCCCATTATTTGATTCTGCTTCCAAAAACCCTATTTGATTACCTATTTTGGGGTTTCCTTTTGGTATCCCTAAGAAGCCTTTGAAATTCCCCCAAAAAGGGCCACACCCACTTGGCCATGGGTCAAAGGCCCGGGTATCCCCCAGTGAACATCCCAATCCCCACTAAAATAGGTTCCAAAATGGGTGGTGAATTCACCTACCAACCAAAATGGGATCCCAAAACGGTTTTAACATGAAACCCTAGCAAATGGAAACATCAAACCTGCGGTCCAAGTCCTTCTTGTTTAAAATTTCGACCACCACACCGCGACCACCACACCGCCAGTTTCAGACCCCGAAACCCGGCCCGCCCGAAGCCCGAGGCGCACGTCCGGGGTGTCCGGAGGAGCCTCTGGCTCATCCGGCCAGTCGGCCAGCTCCGGCGGCGCCCGGGGCACCGTGGGCTGCACGTTGGCCACCTCCTCCCTCGGAGCCTCAGTACTCTTTGGGCGCGGAGTTGTCTAATGGTGTATTTTGCTTATATTTGTTCATTGTTCTTTTGGGATGTGTTTACGTTTTCTTTTTTTGGAGGGGGGATTTTTAGTCGTTGTGCCGTACGATTTCTTCCGTCGTTTTCAAGGGAAACCAAGGAGGGCAGATCCACAATGCCTCTGGATCCGGGCCGCCTGGCCAAGAAAAAATACAAAAAGGCGAAGGACACACGCGTCTTTCCGAGCCGGAGAAGCAACCCCTCCTGTTGACGCAACATGTTGGCTCTAGGAGGGGGGCCCACAACATGCGGGGTGTTGATGTCCGGTACAAGGGAGCAGCATGTGTTCGCCGCGCACATGCAGATAGCCATGCCCGCACAATGTGTTGTGCTTGAGGAGTCTTCTGGGAAACCAACGTACTTACTTTGCATGCATATGTGAAAAGAAATCTTGTGTGAGACGGACATGGACGACCGAATTCCGTGGTTACCTGCTTGGTTCCGAAGACAGGGATCTTTGATAGGTCACAGCATTTGCCTGCAGCTCGTGCATGCGCAGTTCAAATATTAGCGGCTCAGAGACTCTTGCGGAATTCAGAGCATTCTTGGGGTGACAGCGCTTTGCAAGTGAATGAGAAGGTGTGGGCTTTATCTTCCTGCTGTGAGCATGTTCAACAAGGTAACTGCAATCAATAGGAATGAATCTGAGAATGGCAGGTGGTGGCAAGGCGCTAAGACTTGAAACAGATTGAGGCGCGGGTCGCCAGTTGTGCTCTTACCATCCCCCCAACCCCTTTCCCATGGTGTCCCGTAAATGCGCAAGTGTGTCAATCGTTTGCGTTTTACTGGCGGTTTTCCGTGGAACACCTGCTTTGTGCCTCATTGCCTTCACCCTTGCCCGGGTGAGGGGGGCTGGGGAGGGGGGCTGTTTTCACGCTAGTCGCATTCGCAACATCGGCTGGTATCCCACTGGATTGGTCGAGACCAATACCACGGCCCATACGCCGCCGTCGTGCAAGTTTGCGGCGCCTGCAAAACATATTTGTTCACACGCACCCGTGTGTTGCGGCAGCGCCAGCCAGCTTAATTCTTCAAACACGTTTTTTGGAAACCCAGAACTTCCAAGGGTCAAAACAGCGATAGAATGAATATACTGCCCCACCTGCTGAGTTGCACGCTGACTTGAAGTAGATGGATATAGCTTGACAAAAGCCGTCATTCCACGTGCGCCCCCCCCCCCGCGACGCAACATGCTGCATGCGTTGCTTTAGACACGGAACCAAGGAAGCCCTAAATCCATTTCCGGCCGGGTTGCAAAGTAGTGGTCGAAGGTCGGAGCCTCCACAGCGGCCGGCTCCTGAGGCGGTATCCAGCCATTGTGCAGGCAGCCATCTACGTCCTCTCCCCCCCCCCCCCTGAGCCCATTGGCAGACCACAATTTCTGGTGTCACCAGTCTCCCGCCATCTGGTACCCCAAAAATGGGCTGAGTCGAAGCAAGCCACCTGGGGTCCTTCCCTCGCGTCCGCGCGCGCGCGGCGCGCGCGTCGCTCCCCGCCTCTCCCCGCAGGCGCCGGTGCTCCTCCGCCAGCGCCTGCCTCAGCGTCGCCAGGTGCTGGTCCAGCACCGCGCTGAAAGCCGCGAAGGCCAGGGCCTCCACCAAAAAACGCCGTCTCTGCCACTGCTTTGCCGGTGGCTTTACAGGAAAACCCCGGAAAAATCGAGGAGTTTAGGAGGTCCCTACGTCATGTTGACCCATCTAAGTAGAAACCCGTCCAATTCTTGGGGGGGGGCCTCCAAAACTGGTCTGAATCCCCACTAGAAGGGGACATTGGGTTTATTAATCTGGGGTCCACATGATCTAACCAATCGGCGAATAAGGCTAAACCCATGGTTTAAACCACCAACCTCTATTCATAAGATTTAAACCACTAACCACGATCAACGTTAAAGTCATGGAACCGCGATTGCTCAAACAACCTCCTTTGGGCTGCCTAAAACCACTAGTTGTCTAAAGATGTTGTATTGCGGGAGCCGTTTGACAGAGTTGGGCTAAATTGTCTAAAAATATTTAAGCACCCATTCAAACCACCTCCTGTTGGCGTCCCAGGAACCAGGGGATGAGTTCTTTCCACCCTGGCCTCCCGCTCGCTCCGCTCTGGCGCCATCAATTGACGGCAAAGCTGTCCCAAAAAAATGGGCCGGACGTCCCAGCCGGGGCTCACTTTACCAAAGTGAGCCCTTTGGGCGGGACGTCCCAGCCTTTGGGCCTTGCCTTTGGGCCTTGCCTTTGGGCCCAAAGCGGCTTTTGGGGCTTTGGGGCTCGGGGCTTTGCCTCTTGCTCTGTTTCTGCATCCCAAATGTCGGCCAGTTTGCGAAAGGCTGCTTGAAACTCAAGATATAGCCGGACATGTCTGAGCTGGAAAGGCCAAGCAAGTCACAAGCGTCTAGCCTGCAGCGCAGTCTGGCATGCGGATATTCGTCCCCACTGTTTGCAAGAAGATTGTCAGGGCTCCAACAATCCTAGGTCATCCAGTAGAGAGGTTGGAATATGAGTACCCTTTTTTCTGTGGTCTATTTGTGTAGGGGAACCCTCTCCCAAAAAAGGCGGTAAAAGGGCACTACTGGGGGACCTAGGATCGCTTTGAGAAAAACCATCGCATGCGCCTCCCCCCAGCGCAGATTGCAATCTCAGCCTGGCCTGCCGCCAAAGGCCCACCTTCTCGCACGCGTTCAGCGCGATGTTGCAACCTGCAGTCAAAATGCGGTGCACCTTGTGGACTTGTCCCCTCTTACCTGCGCATGCCTTGACAGTAGCAATGTGTTTTTACGCACCCATTTCAAGAGGTTCTCTAGTTCAGGACAAAAAACACGTGTCCTGCAAGCTTGGAGATCGACAAACACATCGCAGCACGGCGCGATTCCCATGGAAGCGTGAGTCGCCCGCCCTCAAAAAGTGAGAAGCTTCCTTCCTACACCTCTTGCTTGGCAATGACGGATCCTTGGTAGGCAACAAGTTTTTTACGGGACCCCCCAACATGGTGGTTCTCTTTTGGTTTCCCTTTTAAGACCAACCGAAACGGGGAGCCCCATGAGACACGCAAGTAGCGGTCATCCCCTCTGCTTCCTTCCTGTGCTCTGAGTAGCTGATGAGGCCCTGGAACCTCATCTCCTGGGCGTCGGCCAGCAGGGCCTAAGCAAGCGGCCTCTTTGAAGCCACGGCATTCCTCCAAAATAGGGGGAACCCAGTCCGAAACTGTTGGCCCATTTCAAGGAGGACATATATATATATATAATATAATATATATATATATATATATACATACAGTAAACATATATATATATATGTATATATTAGGTGTATTTATACTGTCGGTGCCCGTCCAGCCCCCGTCCGAGGCGCTGAGGCCCCGGCCAGCGCGGCTTCCCAGCGCCTCTCCAGGCTGCAGACCTGCGAACCGCCGCAAACGCGCCAGCCGCGTGATTCGTCCGGGGGTCCCAGCGCTCGCCGCGGCGTTGTAGGAGATCTCGTCCTGGAGAAGAACTGGGTGACTGGCACGCAAAGACTTGCCAAATCGCTCGGCGTGCGCGAGATGGAAGAGTTGAGCGCCTGGCCGGCTGCCCGATCTTGCGCATGGCCCGAATCAACTCCAGGGCCTGGAACACAAAAAGAAAACCAACTCGGCTGCGGGTGAGCAGGCAAGATCGGGCACAGAACAAGACGGGATTGACTAGGCTGGCAAACTTCATTCCCCGTCGCCAGCACCAGTCCGATGGCAACGACTCGATTTCAATGAACGCGGACTCTCGAGCGCCTGGTCCCAGGGCGCCCGAGCACCCCGCTCGCTGGAGAGCAGGGCATTGAAGGCCGGCACATTTGCCTGCAGCCCCTCGCAGCTGAGCCTCAGCCAGCCGCCGGGCTCCGGGTGCCGCTGAGACTGACAAACCCCTGAGACAAATGTGGTGGCCATGGCTGGAGTGAAGGCCTCTTCACTCAAGTCCAAGGCGATGTGTAAGCTCCTGCCTCGTCAGCTCACCCAAAGACCGCTCCCACTGCCCTCCTGCCATGCACGACTCATAGCTATGCCATCATTCGACGTGTGGGCCGTGCGGGTCCTCGGCTGAAGGAGCTCAACACTGCCCCCAGCAGAACCACCTGCGAGACAAACAAGCAAAGCCAAACAGAAATGTCCAGCTGGGGAAGTCCAGACCCCTTGGGCTAGAGTCGACAAGCCACGGGCCTCTCTCCCTCAAGCCCTCCTCAACCTCCCTTCCAGGCACCCGGCGCTTGCTCTCTGAGGCTCCCCACATTGGCCTCCAAGCCACTGGTAGAAAGCCTCGCAAAAGCTTTTCGGGTGGGTCGTCCGGTAAAGTTTGTGGGCTGGGTCGCTGGCAATTCTGTTGCCTCAAGCCCATGGATTGGGCTTTGGGTCGTACAGATCTATCTTTATGCAAGTATGTTGTCCTATACCGGAGGGGTTCCTGTCTATGAGTGGTGACAAAGGAAAGGGCGAAAGCCAACTCCATCGCCAAGTCAAGGAACCTGTCCAGAAAATGCTTGCGAACAAGGACCCATCATTCCCCAGGTCAATACCCAGAGAAAAAAGAAACAAAAAAACTTCTTGAGGGGAAACAATCCTGGGTCTCAATCACTTCTGTGCCACGAGATCCACCATGTGCTTGGCGCCAATGCTACAAGCTTGTACCATGCAGTTCCCTCAGAATTAAACGCATCAGGAATGCCTGCCACCCTGAACGCACTGGGCGCATACCCTTTGCCGATTCCTTTGAATCTAGCAAAAACGTTGAAAGAAACAAACTTCTTTGGGGTGCTACTTACCGTCGCTTGGTTCCCCTCCTATCATGCTAAGGAGGTTTCCCTTTTCTTTGGTGAATGGTGGTTTCCCCTGGTTACCTACGGTCTGGCCAGCTGGTCTGGAAGCACTGGGCGCGTTGAACATGCGGCTTGCGCCTGCGCAGCAGGAGGCTGACCTGTTCCCAGCGGCCACTTCCCAAAGCGCCCACCGTGGCCTGGCATGCATCCCTTCAGAAAACGGCACATGGCAGGAGTCTGTTCCACCGGGGGATGTGCTCAGTTTCTCTAATTGGTTGTTTGGATTGGTGGTTTGGGCATGTGAGCCCCAATTTCTATTGAAAACTCATGGGGAAGCTACCTCCTAATGCCCAAACCGCCAAACCAAACCACCAAGGACGGAACAGCTGATGTACCAAGAGATGTTTAAGTTAAAGAAAAAGCAAATCTGCTTCAAGTCCTGGCTCAAATCCCATGGCTGTACAGAGCGTCCATTTGCCACAAAGGCCCCATCTTACCTCGTGCTTGCCTCCTTCTTGGACGTTGCGGTCGTCCCCTTTCGTCTCCACCAATGGAAAAGAGACGAAACTGGGCTGTCCAGTTTGAGGCAACCAAAACGAAGCATTTTCGGGCACCCCTGCTCTTGACACACAACCACATGGCCCAATGGCACCTTTGATCGCACTTCCGGCTGCTTCTCTATTTGCCCTCCCCAAGGCCGGGCAACCAGCCAGGGGCTCAGCGAAGGTGAAGGTGTCAGGTGTTACCTGGCCGAGGTGCCGTCATTCCCCTTGGTTGGGATCCCGAGACAAACGGACACCAGCCTGATTGAACAGCCACAGAGCCTCACTGCACAAGCGCCAATAGCTGCTACAACTGCAGTGACCAGAACCTCTCAACAATGCCTCTCTGCTTGCCAAGTACCTGAGTGCAACACCAAAAGCCACTGCTGCCCCTGCCAGCGCTTGAAACAAAAGCGTCTTGCCGCTGAATTGGAAGGCAAAAGGTTCGTGTGAGGTGCAGAGGTGTGCGAGTCTTTTGGCATCCGCGGAATGCGAGCAAGTTCTGGGCAAGCATGCTTGCTGCATCTCTTCGCACATGCCAGGCATCTCTTGCCACTGCTGCCATCTCTCCATGCTGGTCAGCACCGCCGCATAGGTCACCATGTCCACCTCCATGCCACCGCGCTTCATGCCTTGCAACACCTCCAGGCCCGACTCCTTCAAAGAGCTCACCAGGGCCGTGCAGGTGAGCCGGTTTGGCCTCACCTGCGCCCTGCGCATCTCCTCCACCACGCCCAAAGCGCTCGCCGCGCCGCCGCCGGGGCCGGCGGAGAGCGCCGCGGTGAAGCTCACGGCGTCCGGCGCCAAAGCGCGGCGCCGCAGGCCCCGCAGCAGCGCCCAGGCCCGGGCGGCCTCGGAGGCGCGCGCGCAGGCGCTGATGCACGCGTTGAAGGTGATCAGGTCCGGCACCACAGCCGCCTCCTCCGAAAAACACAAAAACGCACCCGTCCAAAAGCAGGAAAGGTCGGAAGGTGCGGAGGTCCGCCAGCTCCTTGATTACTTACTGGGTTTCTTCTTGCTCAAAGGGGGGCCCTTTTGCTGCGCCTGCATCTGCTCCAAGATAGTCATGGCGCTCTCCATCCTGTTGCATTTCTCGCAGGTGCTGATCAGCGCATTGTACGTGCAGAGGTCAGCTCGAGTTCTCCTGTCTTGCATCTGACAAAACACCTCCAGCGCCTCAGGCAGCCTGCGCCCCTTTTCGCAGGCGCTGATGACTGCATTGTAGGTGATGATGTTGGGCACCAGGCCCTTCATGCCAAGCAGGTGAAGCGCCATCTCCGGATTCCGGCCTCAGGGCTTGCCGCGCTCTCCAACGCTCCAAATCGGACCAAACGAACGGGGGCCTCTCCAAATGTGGAAACCCGAGAAGGGGGTGCTACTGTGCTTTGGCTCCCCTTTCGAACCACCCAAAAAAAGGTACCCTCGCAAAACGCACACAACTGAACATCCCGGCAGACCTGCCCTTGTTCCTTTCTGCGCACGTCGAGCGGCCCTTCTCACATGCACTGATGACTGCATTGTAGACCACGATATCCATCTCCATGCCTCGTCCGAGCAAAAATCAAAGACGGGCAAAGCGGTGATTGAATTTGCGAATGGCACAAATGCGAATTCGCGCGGACTCTGACTCAAACATGGTTCAATCCTCGCCTGACAATCAACCAGCAGCCAATGTCGAAAGGCACCGGGTGAATGCTCAGTATCAAATGTCAACCTCCAGTTCATTCGGACCGGGTTGAAATGGATGACTTTCGCCCATAGAAAACCGATAAGCCCACCATTGGAAAGACACCTATGGCTCCAAGTGGGGTTCCACCAAAACAAAACAAACAAACAAAAAACGTTTCAGAAACCTTCTCTCCACGCCCAAGAAGCTCAGCTGGCGCATCTCGGAGAAGAGCCTCAGCGCCTCGTCCGCCTCTGACCGATGTTCGGGGTACCAACTGCACAGTGGAAGGTCAAAACAAACCATGTAGACCCTAGCAAAAAAGGTTCGACCACTTTGTTTAGACCTGAAAACATGGGTGGTGTCCCTTTCTTAGACCCCCAAAACACTGACTGGGTGGTTCCTTGTGTCGTTCCTTGCAAACCAAAAACTGGGACTACCAACTCAGAACCGGCGGACCTTTTGTTGGTTCCCCTCTCTCAAGTCTCACCCGAAGCGTCCAGCGCCTGGCTCGACTTCTCGCAGCAGCTGATGAGGGCGCTGTAGGTCACCCGGTTCGGCTGCAGCTGCTGCTGCCGCATCTCTCCCAAGAAGCGGAAGGCCTCCGAGACCTCGTGGCACATCGGGAAGGGACCTGGTTTTCTGAGGCCGACCTGGTTTTTGGGGGGTGCTTTAAAAGGAGAACAAAGGGAAAAAACACTTCTCTTTAGGGGGGATTCTGTTTTGAGAACACCCACATGATTATGCAGGTTCGTACAGGCTGGAATTTAATCCCAATCATGAATGGCCAAGAGGTTTTCGGGCGTTGCTCAATTGCTCGGTACGTGCTGTTTTAGAGGGTACGAGGGTAGTACCCTTTTGGGGTGGCGTTGAAGGGAAACCAAAATGAAATGTTTGGTGGTTCTTTTGATGGTGGTTCTTTTCATGCCATGTACCATACCCGCCTTCTGGTCATGTACCGTTGTTGACACATGCAAAGCAAAGGCCTCCCCAAAAAGGAAAGATTCCTGAAGCAACCTTCCCAGGGCCCAGCGCAAAAGGGTGGGAGCCTTTCTGGGGGGTTTCGGGTTTCAGGACGTGCCACCCGCTGGCTCCTTCCACAGGCGCTGATCAAAGAGCTGTAGCACACCACGTCCGGCTCCAGCCACTCTGCGCGCATCTCCTGCCGCAAAATCCGGGTGGACGTCGCGGTGTTTCAGCACACCCGCTAAGCGGACAGCCCCACCTCCACGACGGCTGTCGCCCGCTGCAGGTCCTGCGCGCGCGCCAGGGCGCCCAGCAGCGCCCCGTAGCTCACCACGTCCACGGCGCCAGGGGATCCGGTCTGCAGGCGCCGGAACACGGCCAAAGCCACCTGCGAACCCAACCGCAGACCAGAAAGACGAGAAAAACCGACAAAGACGAGCCAAGGAGAAAACGCAATACGATGAGAAAACGAAAGGGTCAAAACGGGGGAGCGAAACGCGTCCAGAGTGTGTCTGGTCCTCAAATCAGAAGACTGACGTAAACTGACCCTCTTTGGGATGCTTCAGGAACGGAAAAGAGTTGCAATCATTTTACGTGGCGCCTTGTTGTAGGAACACGTCGTTGCCGAGGCAAGAACAAAAACATTCGAGATGGCCATTCCGCAAAAGACAACGGCCGATGCTGAAATCTCCCCCATTCGCAAGATCAGATGCATCACCAGACAAGGTAAAGGTGCATCGTAGCTATCCAACAGGCATGACATGTCCGGCCTATCGTAGCAATCCAAACGGCCAAGAGATCGCCCTGTGGGTCTCTCTCAAAAAATCGCAGACTCAGCGCCTTTCCTTCTTTTGGTGTCCCCACCAACAAAAAGAGATATGGGGTGTGAACCCCCAGTGATTTTGATGTTGGATTCCCTTTCAACCAATTTCAAAAGCACACCAACAACCGAAAAGGGGGGGGTCACCTTTCCTGCGTCCGAAACGCCCCCGGCGCCCTCCGAAAACTTCGGCCCAAAGCGCCTCCGCCAGGCTGAGGCGGCCGCAGGCGCCCACCAGCGCCGCGCAGGTCACCGCGGAGGCCGCGAGGCGCCGCGTCTGCAGCTGGCCCAGCAGGGCCAACGCCTGCTGCCACCGGCCTCGAAGGGACCACGGGGGACCACTGGAGACTGAGACGGGGACTGAACCACTGGATGAGACGGTCATTCGGGAAAAAAAACAAGGAGGAAAAGAAAGCCCGGAAGGTCTTGGTTCCGTTTTGGGGACGCAGTACTGCAAAAAGAAGAAGAAAAACTGATCCTTGCAGGGAAAGGGAGGGCGGCCCCAAACACTTCCTGATTGTTGAATTCTTCAGCCAAGGTCAGAAGAAAAACACTTTCGCTTGAACCGCGGAATCATCCGTCTCAAAATGGATAAAATGGATGCCCGGCCTCCTTTGAGGGGACTGGCCAACATACGACAAGCCATACATGGCTCTGCCCAGCAACATTTCGTGAAAGTGTCGGATCAGGATGGAGCAAAGCTCATGCGCCCATACAACTACCAAGCAATTTGGCCATGAACATCCCAATTCCCACTAAAATAGGTTCTAAAATGGGTGCTGAATTCACCTACCAACCAAAATGGTATCCCAAAACGGTTTTGAGAACCACAGCCATTTCGACGTTCTGGCCTTTCAAGGTCAAGGCCTTCATGCGCTTGGTATAGCCCACCAGCGCCCCATCTGCATCGGCGACTCGGGCCATTGCCGCGCGTGGGTTGCGGCGATGCAAGGGCCCGCTAGCCAAAAGAGCCACGTGATGGCTTGACCTCGTGGCACCTGAAAACCACTGACTGATATGGGTGTGGGTCAAGAAAAGGTGCCCAAAATGGAAACCTGGTAAATGGAAACAATGACTGGTGGCTTTGTTTTGACCCATACCCATATGCTTGGGGACCCTCAGGCCCTTCGGGGGTCCCAACGAAAAGTGCCAGACGCGGTCCCGGCCTTCTCGCAGGCAGTGATGGCACTGTTCACAGCCGACAGGTCGTGGAAACCTCGAGGTTTGGCCCCCCACCCCCCCCCCCGCCCCCGCCTCTGCTCAGATCCGATCTCAAGCTCAGGGACATTGATCGTGCGCATTGGAGGCAATGGAAGAAGAATCTGGTGGTACGGATGTGATACACGGTAAACAGATTCACCTTCGTAAGGGTGGTGCTTGTGAGAGAGAGAGAGAGAGACAGAGAGAGGTAGAAGAGAGCGCTTCAACCGTGCAAAAACAAGAAACGTTGGTGCAATGAGGTTTCACCTGAGTCTGAAGGCAGGGACCAAAACACAACGCGTACTTTGAGGTGAGAACACGGCAGCCATTCTGGCCAGAAGCTTCCTCTAGTTAGTTGTGCCAGTTGTGAACAGTGGGAAGCACAAAGCGACACCAATGATAGCTCCGATCGTACCTGGAACTGCTGCATCCTCCATTGCTACACCCTCAGAATCGCCTAGGGCTCGGCGCTGAGCCCTGGCTTCACAATCGACATTAATCCAAACATCTTTCTGCCCGCTGAGTCTCACGCCATCCTCATCAAGAATGCAAAGCCTCAGCAATCCCGACGGCAACCTGGGAGCAAGCAGCACTGCAAAATGTCACCCGGCTTTGAGGGGCCTCCTTCCATAGCAAACAAGGCGCCCACTTACTTGACTCTCAAGCCGCACGTCCTGAGCGCCTAGCGCCTCCTGCCACTGCCCAGCCCTGGCGCAATGGGCCAGCAAAACAAAACGGCACAACGCCGGTGTCATCAGATCCTTTCAAGTAGGCCAGAACCACTTGGAGGACGCGAAGAAATTGTGAAATGACATCATACCAGCACATGGCTTCTAAACGTGGCCAACATCCGACCCGCGGGTTTTCGCTGGCTCGCTCTCCGCCCACCTCTCGCAGGCGCAAATGGCGGCTGCAGCGCCCACCTTGGACCAGCTGGGCATGGGGTAAAGCAAGCGTTTGGCGCATGCACCAAGAGGGAATAAACAAAAAGCTGGGGAGGCCCTGACTTTGCAAGAATCAACACCCCTTCCCTTCTTGCAACATGTGGCAAGCTTTTGCCACATGTCGCACATTCGATAGTCCTCGCTCACTGGCAACCCTGTCCACATCGCCATGGAACCCACCCTTTTTGGGGGAAATGGTTCAAAACTGGGAGCCTTCCTCAGGTTCCCCAAGCGACGCTGCGATGGGCACCGCACCGAGAGCCTCAGCATCTTCGCCTCCCGGAAGAGCGACAGCCTCGGTCTCCGAGGATCTGATTTCAAGCTGAGGGGAACCTCCGGAGAAATGGTGGGGGGATGAGGTGTCCACACTTCAGCTGGCAGATTCCTGGAAACCGATGTTGGAATGGCTTCCTAGTGGCCTTTGCTCATCTCAAGCCCCATTTTTTCCTCGGGGTGCACTGCCGCTCAATGTCCGCAACATGGAGTCACACAGAAAACAAGGAACCATACATGCATTGTGAACTAGACATGTTGACAAAGGCTCGGACTCATTGAATAGGTTTTGGGGCGTTGTCTTGAAACAAACTTCTTTGAGGGACAGCAATCCTCCAATCTTGTTCACCGCAGGAAGGCTGTGCAAGAGCTAGCTTGCCCCGGGCCGTTGCTCCCCTTCGGGCCATTCCGTGCGCTTGCTGGAAGAGTTCCCGAATTAGTCTCCATGTTTTCCAAAATGAAGGTCCTCTGGGTTTCAAAATTGCAGGAAAGGCAGGAGGGGCAGCCAAAACCAAGAGTCAGCAAGGACTCTACCAGCTGCCCGACCCTCGGGCGCCGCGCATGACATGCACAGAAAACTGAAGGGGCAGCGCCAATGAGTGAAGGGATGTGGAAGAATTCTGCGCTAATTGCGCAAGGAGCCACTGTTCAAAATTGGATAAGGTGTGGTGCATTGGCGTTGCCCCATGCCAGAGCCCATCAAACTTACAACGTGAATGGGCTAGCACTATGTACAGGCGATCGAATGGTACATCATGGACATGAAAATCTGTCCAACACTCAGCATCAGCCCTCCAGGAACACCCCAGTCAGGACACTTGTCTTGGGCTTCGAACCACTGAACGTGGCGTAAACCACACGAAACTCACTATGAACGTGATTGGAATCTTAAAAGCACACTAGTGGGACAAGACCGTGCGTAGCATTGCAAGTTGTCAAGTACCTGAATTTGACCGATAGACCATGAAACTGGGTCCAAGTGCTCTCCCCACACCAGTGTCACCAGGGATGTGCTCTCCAGCTTGCCTTTGCTGGATGGGGGTTCCTGCCAGGGAAAGGTCGACTGGTCCCTTCGCAGTCAACATCTCGCTTTGGAGCACCCGGACGATTCAACAGAGAGCCATGGGCCTCGCAGCCACTTTCTGACATCAGGATTTGCAGACCCTGCTCTTTCCCTCGCAAAATGGCGGCTCAGAAGATGTGAATCACCTGCCAACGCAATCATGAAGCGAGCGGCACCTGCTCTTGTGGCTAAGAAGCCCACCAGCTCAATGCCTCACCCGGTCCCATGGGTTGGTACAAGTTCGGCATGTGTCGAAACTTTCACTTTGCTTTGTGTGCAAATCCCCGAACCGAAAACCCGGGCATCTGGCCCTATGAGTTTGTCAAAGCGGCACCGCCTGTGACAGGTTTGCCAGAGCGTCCCGCCCCAGTAAACTGTCCCATGCGAAACGAATCATCAAGAACTGTCGAAAAATGGAGAACCCGCAGTCGCTGTGAAAACCCCTGGCCAAACGAAAGGCCCCTATGTGTCCTTTTGACACGACCACCAAAAATGGTTGGTGTCCTTTTGGTTTCCCTTTAAAACCAACAACGAGCCACCCTTCAAATTTTCTTTTCTCTTACGTATTGACTTCCTCTTACAACTTGCAACTGTTATTCAAGAAAAAAACACACACACACACAAAAAAAAAAAAAAGAATGGCACCCGAAGAAAAAAAAACTCAAGTGATATCCCCAACAGCATGCGGCGCTTTTTTGTGCTCGCACCCCGCCCCCCCCCCCCCCCCCACAGCCCTCGTAGAACCTCGTGGAACGCTGGTGGAACCCTGGTAGAACCCTGCCTGGTGGAACCCTGGTGGAACCTTACCTCAGGGCCGTCCCGCACCACCCCGGAGCCTACCTGGGCTGAGACCCCAAAGCTTTCAGCTGTTGGGGAGAAAAACGAGGGACAGCCACCCGTCCATCCCTATCTCCATCCCTCGCCTGCTCCACGGCGTGGCGGCACAGCGGGCACTCCGCCAGCCGCGCCGCGCAGCTCCGGCAGCAGCTGCCGTGGCCGCAGGGCGCGAAGGCCGCCCGCGCCGCCGCCGCCATGCACACGCAGCCTCCCGGACCGGACGCCCGACGGACCGTCGGACCGTCGGACCGTCGGACGCCAGGCACTGAGTGAGTCACCCAACCCCCAAAAAACAAAAAAGGCTGGGGTGACTGAGTCAGCTTGTGTGGCGACTGAGGGTTCAAGCTGTGTTCAACTTGTGTGGTGACGGAGGGTGACACTCACTTTTGTGCTACCTGGAGTTTTGCCAGTCTCACCTGAAATGCCACCTATTTCAAAAAATGGGGGTCCATACGAAACCGAAAAGGGCTGAACCAAAAGTTGAACCCAAAGTTTGAACCAGGGTTGCTCCAAACTCAAAAAGCGGGTAGCCTCCAAAAAAACACAAAAGCAGGAAGCAGGCTTGACGGCAACCAAGGGGAAGCCCCCAAGCTGGTGGCTCCGTTGAAGCCAGCCCACAAAAAGCGCACCCAAGTAAAAAGGACATCCAAAAGAGAGCCAAGCCACCAGAAGGCCCCACAAGCCAAAAGCAAGCCAAAGGCTTGCGAGGTCATCTGTGGATAGAGAAAAACCCATTTCGCACCACGCAATCGTGGTTGAAACCATTCCTTGTTGGTATTTACGTTGGGGAATCGACCCGTCCCAGGGTTTCTTGGGCGGTGCCGAGTGCCCGAGTGCCCCAAATCCCCCGGAAGGCCACCCGGAGCCGAGCCGGAGCCGAGGAGCCGAGCCGGGGCCCCGGCACTCCCCGCTTTCCATGGGCAGGCGCACCACTGGCTCGGAGCTGCTGAGCCAAGTCCTGGGTCGCGGTTCTGGGGACCCTTGGGGTACACGTCTCACAACTTGATGGGACGGGAGGGGGGGGAGACTCGGTGGATGGATTCGGTGGATTTCTTATGTCCAACCACTTTATGGAAAAGAGACACCCACAAAAAGCCTTGGCTGACAGGCGGGAAGTAGCTAGCCAGCGCCCAGATAAAACCGGCAGATTCTGGGTGTTTTCTTTTTGGAGAGTGCCTTTTGAAGGTCGGTTTCGAAGGAATTCGAAGGGAAAACCGCAATTTTGTGGCTCCCCCCTATTTTGACACGCACAGTTGTGAACACCCGAGGTGGGCATTCTGCCCGCTGGAACAAATCTCGCAAACACCCGATTTGACTTTTGGATGGCAAAGTCGATGGCCTCTCTCAAGTATGAACAATCGTGACTGGAACAATCCCCTCCTCGCCGATCTTTTGGCAGCCTCTGTTCTTTAGCAGAACCAAAAACAAACACTACGGAGCCCTATGCCCAAGAAATGTGTGTGAGTGTGTGTGTGTGTGTTCGCAAGAAGTCCATCCCGCTTCCACAGCCAAGTCCAAGTCAAGCCATGAGGTCGTCAAAACCGGTCAACGCGAAGAACATCCCGGATGGAACTCACGGGTCCGCTCCTTGGCAGGGACGCCAGCAATCTCAGCTGTATCTCCTGGCGGCTTTTGACTGGAAACCCGGAAAGAGGTTCGCCCTCAAAAACATGGACTCCCAGGTTAAGAACCCAAGATCTGTTCAAACACAAGGGGGCCGCTGTGCAGCCCCCGTTCCTGCCGTTGACATCCCCTTCCAACACCACTGGCCAAGCCACGAGCTGGACTGCCCCTTGCCTATCACAAGCTGCCACCCGGCTGCGCATCTCAATCGTCTATGTTCTGCTTGTACCGTCCTGAATTTCCCTCCCCAAAGAGGGCACCTCAGCCACAGAGGGGCATGTTCGTGAAAGCAAGGGGGCCTGAGGAGATACACTCTCAAACACGATGAAACCACTGTTCTAGGCGCCACTCCTCTGCATATCAACATGAAACCGAAAAGGACATAACTTTTTGGGATTCCAAAAAGTGGAAGGTGGGGGAGTGAATGGAAACAAGGGAACTTCCCTGGAACTCGAGATGCTTTTTTTTTTTCCGGAAGCGCGCACCTCAAGTCGCACCCGTCGATCCACTTAGCCCTCGCTTCCAGCCTCCAGGCTTCGGCCCTCGGCGCGGTTGGCCGCCACCTTCCCCGCCTCCTCGATGAGCTGCGCGTAGTGCAAGGGGCCCAGCCGCAGCAGCACCTCCAGGCGACTCCACGAGTCTCTCCCCCCCCGAACAACAAGTCAAGTCTCTCCCCCCCCCCCCCACACTGGTGGTTCAAACCCCCCAGCACCCCGAACAACAAACCCCCCCACCCCTTAGAGAAGGGGTATGTCCAAAGTGGTACCCGAGTAATGCAAGTGCTACACGTTGCAGGATTCAAAGAGAAGCCAACAGGACAACCAGCGTGTTCCGAGGGTGATGCTTCGCCGATTGGGCCAACATACAGATTTGGACACCCAGTTTGGGGTGGTGTTGCTTTGGGTGTTCCTTTAAACCGGCCAGAAAAGGGGCACCCTCAAGTTGCTTTGGGTGGTGGTCCCTATGGGGTAGATACCATTGGGCGATTCTGAGCCACCTTGTGTACAGTACACCATGGTTGGTTGAACTACCTTTTGGCTTCCATGTGAAGGGGACCAAAAGTTGGCTTAAACAAACTTTGCCCAACCTAGTAGATTTCCTTTTTCTACCGCTGGTGAGTTGTGGGGCTCCGAAAATGTTCAACTTAGGTGATGGTTTAAACCGAAAGAGGAAGGACATCTTCCTCTGAAGGGACTGCCCGCCGCCTTTATCCCAATCTCAAGGATGAAGTGCGCAGGCCTTTTGGTTAACCTTTTGCGTGCCGCTTGCACGCAAGGGAGAAAAAGAGAGGACGAGTCCAACTTGATTGGCCCTGACGACATCAAACACACGAACCATTTAAGAGGAATTTCCCTGGCTGAAAACTTGTGGAAAGCTTTCCTGTTGGAAATCCAAAAAGCGGATGGGCGTGGCTAAATGGCTGATTCAAAACAAAGGGGTAGGTGTCAAACTATCGGATGGCTTTATGTTGGTTCCTCTTCAAACGCACCCCAACAGGGCCTTATAGTGCCATTGCAATTACTTGGCTATTTGTCAAATCGAGTGAAACTCTTTTGGAGACGGTTTGACAGTCACCAACCCTCTGTATGCATGAGGTCCCAAGTTGTGGTTCTCTATTTTTGGGCTGGAGATGAACATCTCTTCTTGCACTCAATTTTATTGGGCGTTCATCCTCCCAGTCTGGGATACCCCCCTGGCCTCCATGCATACGCTGCGGAGGAAGCCGTCCATGTCCGGCTCCTAGCCCCAACACACCATCCTCGTGCCCGTGGGTGCCAAAATCTGGGGCTCGGGCGGTCTTGCGGGGGCTGCGGCTGCGAGCGCCTCTGGCGGTCATTTACCTCTCTGTGAAACCAAATCGGTGTCTATTCAGGGATTCCTTCAAAATGAAGGTGTTTCCCCTTGGCTTCCCTTTTGGAACCACCAAACAATGAAGGGAACCTCAAAACCAGACACACCCAACTGACACTCGACTCCCCACCTTCGTCAAGAGACAGTCTCAGCCTGGGTCTCATGTAGCGCGGCCTGCGATCTCTGCAAGCCCCGGAGACTATTCGCACGCTGCCCTGCCTTGGCCGCATCCGCCAAAAGACGGCTTCAAACGAGAAATGCGGCTGATTCACTGCCTGCAAAGTTCTGTACCCGATGGCTTCCCATGTGCATATGAACCTTACGTGGCAAGGCTTTACGGTTCTATGTCCGCCATGGTCTTTGAGCCATACAGCTGAGTCGAGTTTGCTCAAACGGCCTAGTCAGCACCTCACGGAACCGACCCGTTTCTGGCACCCCCCCCCCCCCACATATGGCTTCGTCTTTCAAATTAGGAACCTCCCCCAAACATGTACATATATATATATACACACACACACATGTGTGGTGGGATCCGTTGAGTTTTCCATTAAAGCCAGCCCGAAATCGGGGCTTCCCTATGAGTGATTTCCATGCTTTGCATGGAGCCCTTCAAAAGGCGGCCCCATGTTTGACCCCGAACGATCTGGGCTGCCAGGCGCAGCGGTCCACTGAGAAGAGCTACTGCAGGCGCCTCGGGTTCCCCACCACCTACCCTCGTACCTCTACCCAAGGGGTTAATAGGATCCCTCTATTGCCACTGCATGAAGCGTAGTGTTCCTGTTGGTTGGTTTGGAGTGGAAGCCATCACGGAAAGCCAATGCCAAGATCCAAACTTAGGGATCCTTTGGCCACTAGGATTATTACCCATATTCTGCGCAACATGAGCCCTGACTGGTCCCTGGAAGACCATGTTCCTATCCTTTGCCCCAAGATTGGGCGCGTTGTTGAGAGCACCCTTATTAACTACCATGTCCTGACAGAACTCCTGGTTGCTCCTTGGCTCCCTCTTAACCGGCGAATTTGGATACCCCCAGCTCCTTAGCTCCCTAACCACCAGCTAGCGAATCGCCCGGCGCCACTCGTTTCGCACATTCCCCTAGCTGACGGCCGGGCCAACCACAGCCGCGAAGGCCACGTGGTTGGGAACCGGCCCCTGCGCCTGCATCCGCAGAAGGGTCCACCCCACTTGAAATGGGTTCCTTTGTCCCTTTACATACCAACCAGCGGAGAGAAAACTACCGCAAGAATATGAGCAGCTCCCAATGGACCCGATGACTCCAGAACAAAATGGCGTATTTGTTTGTTCCGGTTGCTCGTCCGTGGCCTTCATCCGCGCGAGCAGCTCCATGCCCTGCCGAGCAGCAAGAGTTGAGGATTACTCCCCTACTCAATCAACGGAAGGAACCCAAAAAAGGGGAACCCCTCAAACCTCAACAAAAATCCGTTCCTAAAATTGGGGGAGGTGGTTGGTTGGTTGCTGTGTGGCCAGCACTTGCCAGTGAGGCCAGGCCCGCGCTTCCCCCCCAGCCGAAGCTTGGGGTTCAAGCCGGAAATAAGACGCAGCCAAGGCACAGGCCGTACCATGGGCAACCCGAGGCCGGCGCAACTAAGACAGGGGCAGAGGGTGGATTTGGGGGCCCTGAGCAAGAGTGAGGAAGAAGCACAGGAACAGAAGCAGCTCGCCCACGACGACAGTCAGGACCAAACCCCCTTCCCGACGCAAATTCTGGAGACAGAGGTGACAACCAACCGGAAGGCCAGACGGAGAGCCGAGAGCATCATCACAGGCGGCTAGGGCGGCGGATACTGTGACGGGGCTGTCTCTCCTTTGCAGGAAGCGGCACAACAGCCACCACTCGATGCGACGGTTGCTGAGTGCAGGCGGCAGAGCCACGCCATGACCAGCTCTTGGCTGGACCTGACTAAGCACCGACTCCATGTGCGCTCTCAGGGCTGCCTGCATGGGAGGATGAACTGGGCGGAGGGGAGAGGCAGCAACTGCAAACAACCAACAGAAGGCACAATCAGGGCAGAGCTGAACGACGTGAGCGGCGGACGGATGGTACGCTGCGTGACCACAGTTCCAACAACAGTGAGGCCGGAGGTGGATACAGTGGTTGCAGCCACGACACACAGCATCCCCAAGCCCACGGCACCATGTGCAAGGGAGAGGCTCGGGCGGGGCCACAGTTAAAGCTGCAGAGGAGCAATCGACCCCAAAAGCATCAGTTCAGGTGGTTACTAGGATTCGTCAAATCCTATGAGAGTCTGGGGTTGATCCACGATCAAGCCCTTTCCTATCAGGGATTCTGTGTCGCCATTACCCAAATACGTCAGGCCTCCAACAGGCCTCCAGTAAGACGCACTTTCGCACTAGGCCTCCAGTTGCTGGATCACCCTTTTGCACTACATCGCCAAGTCTGTTCAGTGTTTTTCAGGGTGCCCAGGCAAGGCTGGAATAAGAAAGCAACCAAAGAGGAAAAAATGGTCAAGTCCTTCAGTCTCACCCGAGAGGGAATTTCGCCAAAAGGCCTGCTGCCACGGGCAGCTGCTGATGGCCGCCCCAAAAGCAATCAGAGAGCGCCAGCCTGGCGCGGCCCGAACTGTTCAGCCGTATGGATCCCTGCGGCAGCAAGGGAACGTCCCAAGTTTTGGGGATGGATGGATCCATCTTGCACATCTGAAATTCGAAAGGGAAACGATCTTTGGTGAATCCCAAGCTACGCACGGCTCCTACGCAGCTCGAGCCTTGCTGCTCCATCTGCTGCAACAGCTCAAGGGCCTCAGGGAAGCAGCAAACCAAGTGAGAATAGCTCATCGCACGTGGGTCGGATCTGGACATTCACGGACCGCCTCCAAAGAGCTTCTGCCGACTCACGGGACATCTGGACTGAGCGCCCTGCCATCTGCCACTGGGACCCGTCTTTGCACGCCACAATGGCCAGGGACTGCAGCGACATGGGCAGCAACGCGAGGGTCCGCTTAGCACTCCGTTCCATGAAAGAATCACATCAGAACTGGATCCCCATCGGCATGTGTCAAAAGTGAGGGGATCCAGAAAATGGCGGCTGTCCTTTTGGTGTCCCTTTAAACCAACCCCAAAACAAAAGGTGCCCCAACAAAACAAACACAGCCCCTCTCGATCCTTGGATTCCGGCCATAAGCTGGGGCCCCAGCCCAGCTGCCTTCGTCCAATTGACCTGAGAACCCGAGTGCCTCAACCCCGCGCAACGCGAACAACGAAAGCAGGGCCCTGCCTCCGCTCAAGGCCAGCCACAGGCCCTGCGCACCACAAACACCCCAGCCCCAAAATCGAAAACCAAAGCAGCCTGGAGCCGAGCCAGGCCAGAAAACGCTGAGACCCCCAAATGTTCCCCAAGACCGTCAACGCGTCCACACTTCCAGGGGCAAAGAGAGGAGAGAGAGAGAGAGAGAAAAAAAAAAAGAGAGAGAGAGAGAGAGTTAGAGAAAGAGTGAGAGAAAATGAGAGAAGTTGAAGAGCCTCCTGCCATCGCCCGGCGCGGAGGCAGGCATTCGTGGCGGTGTTGCGGCCTGAGGAGAGGCGGCAAAACGGGTGCGAAAAAAAGAAACACGCAAAAGAAAAAGTGGAGGTGGGTGGGAAGACCTAAACAATCCAAACCTGCCAGAAGCAACCCCTATGAAAGGTGGCCAAACACAGGCTAAGTGTGCTAAACTCAGCCCCTTTTGTAGATATTGGACCAAAAATATATATCCTGTTTTCGTTCAGCGGATGAACAACTCTGGCAGAAATGTCTGTCCAATGTCCCTCCTGTTTCATGTATGCCAAAAGGAACCCTCCACGTCTTTTTTTGGTGGCCATGTCTGCCAGGTTCCTTTGGATTTGCTTTTTTGTTTAAATCATGGACCTTTTTGGTTTCTCATAGAAACAACCCATTTGGCCATGGATAAAAATCCCGTAATTCCAGTGAACATCCCAATCCCCACTAAAATAGGTTCTGAAATGGGTGGTGAATTCACCTACCAACCAAAATGGGATCCCATTGGTTTTGACAACCACAGCAATTTTCTGCTCCTTTGCTTGGGACCAAGTTTCCTGGGCGCCGTTGCCCAGCGCCCCGGTCTCCAAACTGCGCGCCGCGGCGTCGGCCAGCAAGGCCAGCGCCTATGGGAGGGTCTCTTGGGTCTCTGGTCAACTTCGGCCAAGGGGTGCAAAGAGAAAAAATGGGAGCGGAAAGTGGGTCAAAAATGGGGAAACCATTCTAAATTTTAGTTAACCAACTTCAGCCAACACTGCCGGCCTTGGCCCATTCTAGTCTCCCCCTTATTCCCAACTCCAAGACCTTCCTAGTCCCCCAGCCGGGTCTCAAACCGTCCAGTTTCCCATTCCCAGCCCCAAATTGAAACCTGCATATTGACATATTGACCTATTGATGTGTGTATCTCTCCTGCTCATCCATGTATCTCATCTATCGATTTATCTACCTACCTGCCTGCCTACCTAGCTAGGCATCTATCCATCTATCTGTTATCAATATAATCTAATCTAATCGGATCTGATCAAATTCTGAACTCAATCAAACCTACTCTAGTCTGTGTATCAACCTTCTATGTGTCTATCTATCACTATCCAACCGTCTGCCCATCTATCCATCCATCTATCTATCTGTCTACCATGTCGATCTAATCTAAGCTCAGTCTAATCTTACCTATTGACAAACCTAGCTATGTATTTATCCACCGGTCTGTCTATCTGCATATCCATCTACCGATCCAACACAAGAATATGGATCTGATCTAACCCAACCCATTCTAATCGACCGAATCTATCTTTCTTTCTTTCTTTATGTCCATCTAACCAAACAATCAACCAATCAACAAACCAACTAATCAACCAATCAACCAAACAATCAACCAATCAGTCAACCAATTCATCAATGAATCAATGAATCAATGAATCCATGAACCAATGAACCAATGAACCAATGAATCGACGAATCCACGAATCCACGAATCCACGAATCCACGAATCCACGAATCCACGAATCCACGAATCCACGAATCCACGAATTCACGAATCCACGAATCAATGAATCACTGAATCGATGAATCGATGAATCGATGAATCGATGAATCAAGGAATCAAGGAATCAAGGAATCAAGGAATCAAGGAATCAAGGAATCAAGGAATCAAGGAATCAAGGAATCAAGGAATCAAGGAATCAAGGAATCAAGGAATCAAGGAATCAAGGAATCAAGGAATCAAGGAATCAAGGAATGAATGAATGAATGAATGAATGAATGAATGAATGAATGAATGAATGAATGAATGAATGAATGAATGAATGAATGAATGAATGAATGAATGAATGAATGAATGAATGAATGAATGAATGAATGAATGAATGAATGAATGAATGAATGAATGAATGAATGAATGAATGAATGAATGAATGAATGAATGAATGAATGAATGATGCATGCATGAATGAATGAATGAATGAATGAATGAATGAATGAATGAATGAATGAATGAATGAATGAATGAATGAATGAATGAATGAATGAATGAATGAATGAATGAATTAATGAATGAATGAATGAATGAATGAATGAATGAATGAATGAATGAATGAATGAATGAATGAATCAATCAATCAATCAATCAATCAATCAATCAATCAATCAATCAATCACTCAGTCAATCAATCAATCAAATCAATAAATCAGTCATCAATCAATCAATCAATCAATCAATCAATCAATCAATCAATCAATCAATCAATCAATCAAATCAATCAATCAATCAAATCAAATCAAATCAAATCAAATCAAATCAAATCAAATCAAATCAATCAATCAATCGGTCAATGAGTCAATAAGTCAGTCAGTCAGTCAGTCAGTCAGTCAGTCAGTCAGTCAGTCAGTCAGTCAGTCAGTCAGTCAGTCAGTCAGTCAGCCAGCCAGGCAGGCAGTCAGTCAGTCAGTCAGGCAACCACCCAACCAACCAACCAACCAACCAACCAACCAACGAACCAACCAACCAACCAACCAACCAATCAATGAAATCAAGCAAGCAAGCAAGCAAGCCAGCCAGCCAGCCAGCAAGCAAGCAAGCAAGCAAGGCAAGCAAGCAAGGCAAGCAAGCAAGCAAGCAAGCAATCAATCAATCAGTCAATCAATCAATCAATCAATCAATCAATCAATCAACCAACCTACTTGTTTATCGGTCCATCTATCCATCAATCTACCTATCTATCTCATCAATCAGTCTCGAAAAGGGTCGGCTGCGCGACAGGGCAAACGCTTGCACGCGCCATGCAAGACACCTCGAATGACTGCAAGTCATACAAATCGCACATTCTGAACATTTCCCAACGTAAGGACGCTTGCGAACGCTTGCTGACGCAGCGACGCTCTAAACAGATCTCTTCAAAAGACACGGTGTTTCGCCATGGATTTGGGATAAGAAGGATCCCTGGATAGCATGGACGAGTTACCCCTTGAAAGCGATGGCTGCGCAGCTCAAGTGACCTATATCCCACATAAGTTTGGCTGGGGACATTCTGGCATGCGTCGAAATATGGTGACCCCCCCAAAAAAAGATGATTTTCCCCATTGGTTTCCCCTCAAACCCAACCCCAACAAGGGGCGAGGGAGCCATGCCCAAGGCCTCTTCCCAGCGCTCGCCCTTCACGCAGGCGCTGAGCCCCGCGTTGAAGGACACCTCTGAGGCCTGGCGACCGCACGTCGTTCTGGGTCGCGGAGCCCGTTTGTGTTTTCTTCTTTTGCTGGGCGGCGCTAGGATTCTGGAGGGCTTCTAAGAAAGGGTTTAGGGTTTAGGGCTTGGGGGGAAACTGAAGGAGAACCCACCCCTCCTGTTTGGGGGTTTTCTGATTTTGAGCCATATGGAGAGGATTCCAAGCCTCTGGAAACATGTGGAGCCAAGTCAAAGTTACGGCTCCCGCATGAACAACATTTGCGAGTTGTCTGGTTCTTGTGGGAGATTGAAGGCTCGCAAGGAATGCAATCGTTGCTTGCCTACTTTAGAGGACATTTGATCCTACCTGTCCCCCTTGTTGGAGTTTAGCCTCAACACGTGTTCGGCTGCGTCGAGTGACACATCTGAAACAAAGGCTCACACCAAGCCAACGCGACAAATGCGCAGTGTTTGTGAAAGCAGCTGTTCTGAAGTGCACTTCTCATCTGGAACGCACACTGTGCCTTTAAAGGGCAATGTGAAGAACGGATCTAAGGGCAACCTGGGAGTTTGCAAAAACAACCGATCACACGTTGGTGAAAAGGAAAGGTACACCCGAGACTAACCTTCTGCTTTAACGCATATTCCAACTCGTTCACCCTTGTCAAACCACCTGCGCGGAGGGGCAAAGACTCCCCGAAAAGTGGCCTGGTTCCACTAAATTTGCATGGACCCCAACACCGCGTCATCCGTCAGAGGAACCCTCGGGTTTTGGACGAAAACCTCGCGGCTTCATTGGCCTCCACGGAGCTTCGCAGGAGCTGGGCCAGGAGGTCCAAGCCCAGCCTCGGGCGACTCACCGACTTCGAGCTGGGGGCTTTTGCTGCGATTCTGTCCCCCCGCCTCCCCCCCTCCCAACGCCACCTCCCTCTTTTCCCTCTCTTTTCGAGAGCCCTCAAAGAGGCGGCTCCCTTTTTTCCCTTTTGACACAAGCCCCAAAAAGGCGCTCTCTTGGGGAACTCGAACCAAAGGCAAAGCCGTGTTGGGATGATCGGGTTGACATGTGCTCCAAAAACCTCTCGAGGTTTGGTTCCAATGTCGGGTTGTCCGAAGCCATGAGTATAAACAAAGCTGGACATCTAAGCGTCCATCAAGGACCATCAATGTGTTTTCGGCTGACGTCTTCCTTCAAGTCCTTGCAGTTCTTCGTCCCCTGTCCCAACGAAGAGCATCCTTCTGCCCAAGCAACCTTGACAAACTGTGGGTTGTCTGGCGGTCAGTCAGCGGGTATATGATATTCTGGATGGATTCTCTCCAGATCCAAACACCGGGAAAGCATCAAACATGCGTTCAAGTCCCATGATTTGAATGCACCATCTGCACGAATTGAGTGAAACAACAGCACCATCAGCATCGGCCAATTCTGCATAGATGCGTCACCTGGTTGATTGCCATCGCAGATTGCGCCAGGGAACCGAAAGGTGCCCAGTTGCGACACTTCCGGCCGCATGCATAGCTTTGCCAAAACGAAACCTTTGGACGCAGGAAAACCCAGTAGAAAAAAAATTAAAGCAAGTGATTCGATGGCACGAGCGCTCGGCGTTAGGGGAATGGGAGTCCAAACCCAGCAGAAACCCGCCCCAAACCCAGCAGAAACCCGCCCCAAACCCAGCAGAAACCCGCCCCAAACCCAGCAGAAACCCGCCCCAAACCCAGCAGAAACCCGCCCCAAACCCAGCAGAAACCCGCCCCAAACCCAGCAGAAACCCGCCCCAAACCCAGCAAAAGCACCCCCCAAACCCCAGAAACCCGAAACCCCAGCCGAAAACCCAGCAGAAACCCGCCCCAAACCCAGCAGAAACCCGCCCCAAACCCAGCAGAAACCCGCCCCAAACCCAGCAGAAACCCGCCCAAACCCCCCGCAGAAACCCGCCCAAACCCAGCAGAAACCCGCCCCAAACCCAGCAGAAACCGCCCAAACCCAGCAGAAACCCGCCCAAACCCAGCAGAAACCCGCCCCAAACCCAGCAGAAACCCGCCCCAAACCCAGCAGAAACCCGCCCCAAACCCAGCAGAAACCCGCCCCAAACCCAGCAGAAACCCGACCCAGCAGAAACCCGCCCCAAACCCAGCAGCAGCCCAAACCCAGCATCAAACCCAGCAGAAACCCAAACCCAGCAGAAACCCCCCAAACCCCAAACCCCCCAAACCCAGCAGAAAGCCTCAAACCCCAGAAACAAACCCAGCAGAAACCCGGCAAACCCACAAACCCAAACCCAAACCCGCCCCAAACCCAGCAGAAAGACACAAACCAGCAGAAACCCCCCAAACCCAGCAGAAACCCGCCCAAACCCAGCACCCTCCCCAAACCCAGCAGAAACCCGCCCAAACCCAGCAGAAACCCGCCCCAAACCAGCAGAAAAACCCAGCAGAAACCCGCCCAAACCCAGCAGAAACCCGCCCCAAACCCAGCAGAAACCCGCCCAAACCCAGCAGAAACCGCCCCAAACCCAGCAGAAACCCGCCCCAAACCCAGCAGAAACCCGCCCCAAACCCAGCAGAAACCCGCCCCAAACCCAGCAGAAACCCGCCCAAACCCAGCAGAAACCCCCAAACCCAGCAGAAACCCGCCCAAACCCAGCAGAAACCCGCCCAAACCCAGCAGAAACCCGCCCCAAACCCGCCGCCCCAAACCCAGCAGAAACCCGCCCCAAACCCAGCAGAAACCCGCCCCAAACCCAGCAGAAACCCGCCCCAAACCCAGCAGAAACCCGCCCCACACCCAGCAGAAACCCGCCCCAAACCCAGCAGAAACCCGCCCCAAAACCCAGCAGAAACCCGCCCCAAACCCAGCAGAAACCCGCCCCAAACCCAGCAGAAACCCCCATTTCCCCATTTCCCCCTCCCCCCGGAGCCCCACTTCGCCGGAGCCACCCACTCGAGGATTTCTCTCCGGCTCCAGGGAGCCCGCCACCAGTGACTCGCGCGCTCGCAGGCAGAGATGGCCGAGTTGAAAGTCACGGCCTCGGGATTTGTGGGGGAGACGGTGGCATAGATCCAAAAAGGGAAGATCAGACAGAAGCAGAAGAAGAAAACCAGAAAAACCAGAAGCAAAACAAGAAGAAATCAAAGGAAGAAAATAGGAATAAAGCGAGAAGCATGAGAGCAGAACAAGGAGTAAACGGGGCGTAAAAACAAATCCGGGCCCGGGTGCTCAATTGGCTGAGGGACGTTGGATCCTCAATTTGAGTCATCAAAACCTGGGAAAGGGGTATATGGACGGTGGAGATCCACAGCTAAGTACAGTTGTCACTGTCCCCCACTTGAGTCACAATCAAAACCTGGTACTAAAATGGTCGACCCAGAACCACGTCAAGAATTAAGGTTGGGATTGTCCCTTACTAACCTTCATCTACCCGGGTTTTGATTGTGACTCACTTTCTTGCCCAGGTTGACCGTCAACGGAACGTTGGAGATCCACCATGACTAGAACAATTGGGGTTCCTTCGGGAAACACCCATGTTGAGACGCATTGTTTCAGCGCCCGGGTTTCAAAAGGGGATGGTCCGACGTTTGACGTGAGCCACTTCCACCAAAAAGGGCTTCGCATATCTTGATCGTCCCTGCACTTCGACCACCCTCGGGCGAATGCTGTGAATTTGTGGGAGCCTGGGGCTGGAGTTGTCGCCGGGGATGCTGATATTCGGGACCCCGTGTGAAGCATATCGACGTGGTCCAATCGATGCCCCGGGATAGCCTGGCTGCATGAACTGTCGCCAAGCGATGCCCGAGGCTTTGCTGCACCAAAGCGAATCTGAGGCACGGGCGTTGGGCTGCAACCCAAAGGCCTTCATGTCGGGCGCGCGAGTGAAGACAACCAGAGAAAGCCGCTTTGAGCACAAGGGTGGCGAGTCCGGACCGCCCAAAACCTGCTCGCAGGCTGGTGTCAAAACTACGTGTGCCGCCTTGCACAGGAACAACTTGGGGTCCAACTCGTTTGGGTGTGTCAAACTACGAGGCCCTCAACACGCTGGCGCCCTTTCCCATGTCCCATCAAAAACCAAACACCCACCCCAAAGCGTACCCTCAACAGCCACCTCCCACAGCACCTGTGGGAGGCTACCTGGATCCATTTCCTTTAGAAGGACTCCCGGGTGCCATGGGAAGCAACTCCCCGGCCTCCTCCAGTAACTCCAGCGCCACCGTCCAGGCGTGGCCTTTGCCGCACGCCGCCAGGGCGGAGTTGTAGGTCCTCCAGCCGAAAGGAAGCAGCAAGGAAGCCGAAAGGAGCCGAAAGGTTCTTCTCCCGCCAGTGGAATTTCCAAAGACAAAAACAAACCGCGGGAAATACCCACGGGGGTGTGCTTTAGGAAGCTAGCCTGAGGTTGGCTCGAAGGCAAACCAAAAGAAATCACGATTTTAGGGTGTCCTGTTTTGACTCTGGTCAAGCTCATATCCCAGGGCCATCTTTCAGGATCCCTTGCATGGTCCAAAATTACTGCCGAAGGGTTGATGCCCATCCATAGTAACCTGCTGCGGACAAAAAGGAGCCTGGCCATTCTTCTAAGCCGATCCATGAGCGTCAAAAGTCTACCCCGAATTGTGCCGTGATGGTGTGTCATGTCCCTCCCTTTCGTGTTCTTCCGCAAGTTTTGGTGGGGCATGAATCAAGCGACATCCGGACCTGCTGGGACTGGCCCTTACCTTCACTTGCCCTAATCGATTTGGATTCTGAGAATGAGAGATGCTGAGGGAAATGCCGTGGAGGTGTGCCGCCTGCTTTCTTGAATGCTGACCACTTTCCGGCCAGCCATCTTAATGCTTCCCAAGAGCTGATTCATTGGCCATGTGCCTCGAGCCCATGCAACATGAGGTGGACCCTGTCTCAAGCGCATGAAGCAGCCAGTCCTGATTCCAGGCGCCAGCAACTTGTCATGGGCCTGCGGACCCAAGGACTCGCATGTGTTGGAATGTCACGAGAAGCAAAGCGAGCCCCCCCGTCATTGCTATATCCATGACAATAAAGAAAGACACGAATAGACAGCACACCCACACACACACACACCTGAAACCATTATCCTCTTGATGGATACTGCCCAGCATCTGTTTTCCGGAAATATGTTGGCTTAATGTCCTCTTGTGCCACAGTGAATTGCCCTGGACACTGCTTGCCAGCTCGACATTTATCCGCTGCAAGCAAGTCCAACAAAAGTCCCACATTCCTCTCAAGCCAGGGTAATCAGCTCATCTGCTGGATATGCTCCGCACTCTGTGCCCTCAGTCATGCTGGCTAAGTCAAATCGTCATCTTCTTCCCTGCATTGCTTTGCTCAATTCTGTATCCGGCCTACATCGAGACACCATGCGGGTATCCATTGACAAACAACATATACGTATCGTCACACAGTCATGGCATCAATCCACCATTCCCCCATGATCCACCGTCTGTGAGCATCTGATCTACTACTCTTCTCAGCTCAGAACAGAACATGCATGCCTCTCAAGCCAGGGGAAATCAGCTCATCTGCTGGATATGCTCCGCGCTGTGTGACCTCAGTCATGCTGGCTAAGTCAAATCGTCATCCTCTTCCCTGATTTGCTTTGCTCATTTCTGTATCCGGCATACATCGAGACACCATGCGGGTATCCATTGACAAACAAATATACGCATCGTCACACAGTCATGGCATCAATCCACCATTGCCCCGTGATTCACCGTCTGTCAACATCTGATCTACTACTCTTCTCAGCGCAGAACAGAACATGCATGCCTCTCAAGCCAGGGGAAATCAGCTCATCTGCTGGATATGCTCCGCACTGTGTGCCCTCAGTCATGCTGGCTAAGTCAAATCGTCATCCTCTTCCCTGCATTGCTTTGCTCATTTCTGTATCCGGCTACATCGAGACACCATGCGGGTGTCCATCGACAAACAAAATATACGCATCGTCACACAGTCATGGCATCAATCCACCATTCCCCATGATTCACCGTCTCTCCCGTCTGTCAACATCTGATCTACTGCTCTTCTCAGCTCAGAACAGAACATGCATGCCTCTCAAGCCAGGGGAAATCAGCTCATCTGCTGGATATGCTCCGCACTGTGTGCCCTCAGTCATGCTGGCTAAGTCAAATCGTCATCCTCTTCCCTGCATTGCTTTGCTCAATTCTGTATCCGGCATACATCCAGACACCATGCGGGTGTCCATCGACAAACAAAATATACGAATCGTCACAGAGTCATGGCATCAATCCACCATTGCCCCGTGATTCACCGTCTGTCAACATCTGATCTACTACTCTTCTCAGCTCAGAACAGAACATGCATGCCTCTCAAGCCAGGGGAAATCAGCTCATCTGCTGGATATGCTCCGCACTGTGTGCCCTCAGTCATGCTGGCTAAGTCAAATCGTCATCCTCTTCCCTGCATTGCTTTGCTCATTTCTGTATCCGGCATACATCGAGACACCATGCGGATGCGGGTGTCCATTGACAAACAAAATATACGCATCGTCACACAGTCATGGCATCAATCCACCATTCCCCATGATTCACCGTCTGTCCCGTCTGTCAACATCTGATCTACTACTCTTCTCAGCTCAGAACAGAACATGCATGCCTCTCAAGCCAGGGGAAATCAGCTCATCTGCTGGATATGCTCCGCACTGTGTGCCCTCAGTCATGCTGGCTAAGTCAAATCGTCATCCTCGTCCCTGCATTGCTTTGCTCAATTCTGTATCCGGCATACATCGAGAAGCCCTGCGGGTGTCCATTGACAATTAACATTTACGCATCGTCACACAGTGGCATCAATCCACCATTCCCCCATGATCCACCGTCTGTCAGCATCTGATCTGTTACTCTTCTCAGCTCAGAACAGAACATGCATGCCTCTCAAGCCAGGCAAATCAGCTCATCTGCTGGATATGCTCCGCACTCTGTGCCCTCAGTCATGCTGGCTAAGTCAAATCGTCAGCCTCTTCCCTGCATTGCTTTGCTCAATTCTGTATCCGGCCTACATCGAGAAACCATGCGGGTATCCATTGACAAACAAAATATACGAATCGTCACACAGTCATGGCATCAATCCACCAATTCCCCATGATCCACCCTTCACAATGCCCAACGTGTGTCAACATCTGATCTACTACTCTTCTCAGCTCAGAACAGAACATGCAAGCCTCTCAAGCAAGGGAAATCAGCTCATCTGCTGGATATGCTCCGCACTGTGTGCCCTCAGTCATGCTGGCTAAGTCAAATCGTCATCCTCGTCCCTGCATTGCTTTGCTCAATTCCGTATCCGGCATACATCGAGACACCATGCGGGTTTCCATCGACAAACAAAATATACGAATCGTCACACAGTCAGGGCAACAATCCACCATTCCCTATGATGCATCCTTCACAATGCCCAACGTCTGTAAACATCTGATCTGCTACTCTTCTCAGCTCAGAACAGAACATGCATGCCTCTCAAGCCAGGGGAAATCAGCTCATCTGCTGGATATGCTCCGCACTGTGTGCCCTCAGTCATGCTGGCTAAGTCAAATCGTCATCCTCTTCCCTGCATTGCTTTGCTCAATTCCGTATCCGGCATACATCGAGACACCATGCGGATGCGGGTGTCCATCGACAAACAAAATATACGAATCGTCACACAGTCAGGGCAACAATCCACCATTCCCTATGATGCATCCTTCACAATGCCCAACGTCTGTAAACATCTGATCTGCTACTCTTCTCAGCTCAGAACAGAACATGCATGCCTCTCAAGCCAGGGGAAATCAGCTCATCTGCTGGATATGCTCCGCACTGTGTGCCCTCAGTCATGCTGGCTAAGTCAAATCGTCATCCTCTTCCCTGCATTGCTTTGCTCATTTCTGTATCCGGCATACATCGAGACACCATGCGGGTATCCATTGACAAACAAAATATACGCATCGTCACACAGTCATGGCATCAATCCACCATTCCCCATGATTCACCGTCTGTCAACATCTGATCTACTGCTCTTCTCAGCTCAGAACAGAACATGCATGCCTCTCAAGCCAGGGGAAATCAGCTCATCTGCTGGATATGCTCCGCACTGCGTGCCCTCAGTCATGCTGGCTAAGTCAAATCGTCATCCTCTTCCCTGCATTGCTTTGCTCAATTCTGAATCCGGCATACATCGAGACACCATGCGGGTGTCCCTCGACAAACAAAGTATACGAATCGTCACACAGTCATGGCATCAATCCACCATTGCCCCATGATTCACCGTCTGTCAACATCTGATCTACTACTCTTCTCAGCTCAGAACAGAACATGCATGCCTCTCAAGCCAGGGGAAATCAGCTCATCTGCTGGATATGCTCCGCACTGTGTGCCCTCAGTCATGCTGGCTAAGACAAATCGTCATCCTCTTCCCTGCATTGCTTTGCTCAATTCTGTATCCGGCTTACATCGAGACACCATGCGGGTGTCCATCGACAAACAAAATATACTGTGATTCAGGCACGAGCCTGTGCCCAGGCAATGGGTTAGTTGGGGTAAACAAGCCACAAAAGAAAGGTTCCCCAAAAGCAAACCAATCCCCGGTCCCAAAGATCAGGGTTTCCCACACACCAGAGAACAACAACCAAAGGAGAACAAACCAAACAAGAAAAGGGTTAACCCGCAACCTTGGTCGACAACAGGCCGCACGACTGGTCCCTACCAACCTGGCGGCGGCCCGAGGTCTCTTTCTCCCCCGAGATGCCGTCGGTCGACGCAGGGGTTCGGCGACGCCCATTCGAGGCGCGACGGAACCCAAAATCTTGAGCCAAACACCACAGGTCAGTCACTACCGCGACATCCCTGGTGATGACATAAACCATGGCTAATCACACCCCCCTCACGAGGAGCCCGTCATATGACGGGTGGAGCGTGCCATTTACTGATAGGATTTAACTGCTCGCATACGTCCGCAAACAGCTGGACACTACCGCCGTCAGCGGTGGAGCAAACCCACAAAGGCAGTCGCGCGACATCCCGGGCATTAAATTCCCGCCACCACCCCGAATTAATCGGGGTAACGCTGTCCAACATACCTTGTGGAAAAGTCCACATGACGACAATAGGTCACAACTGTTTGCATCAGAAATGCAAGAAGTTTAATTCTTATCAGAAGCCATGAAAAAGGATATCATTTGTCCAATCTGTACCCTTGCCTATCGGCGAGAGGTACACCTGACCATGCATACTTGAAATAGAATACTAATTTTGCAAACCTGGGAGTACCCTCCACTGGTTTGCTTCCCCGCTCACTCACACTACTTCTTGGCGACCATCACCAGCAGCAGATCAGCGGTACAGGAGAGGCATGGACAACACGCCTCAGCGGTGCAGGATGAACGTGATCATCACCCCGCAGCGTTGACCATTGGAGGGCGGGTGCAAGCCTACCGGCCGCAACCCTCGTGAATCAGCCTACCGGCTATCATCACGCCTCCTCCAGTCACGTCCGCCCCGCGCACGTTCCCTGTCGCGATCCCTCTCGGATCTCCTGCGATCATCTCTCCGTCGATCTCTGTCGCGTTCCAGCGAATCATCATCCCGATGATCCCGACGATCGTCTCGACGATCTCGATCCTCGTCCCTCCGTGGTCGATACCTTCGCCTTCTCGACTCTCGGGAATCCCTAGTGTCCTGTGTCCTATCGGACCTCCTAGACGGCGTTCGGGAAACATCGGTACCCCGACGTATCCGCCCCGCGTGGGAGTTCGCCACGATCTGGTTGAGAGCTTCCAAAGCCGAACTTGTTTCGCCGTTCCTGATGAAGTCTCTCACCTGTCTGTTGAGCGCCCTATCGGATGACATCCCCAGGAACGCATCCACCATAGAAGCATCCGGTAGCGTCTTGAAGTGACCTTCCACCGGGCTTGCGGCAGCTCGCCCCGCCGAGTGCAGCCTGACTTCGCTC